CAAGCTGCTTCCTGTTTTGTTTACGATGTGACTGAGCAGGATTTCCTGCAGCGGTTTTAGACCAATGTAATAAATTGTTTGGGTGATGGGATAATGAGTTTGTCTGCTGGCAGAATAAGTTACGCTGCTAAGTGTCTTAAGGACACTTCTTAGTGAATTCACAGTGGGACTTACTCGTCTATGTCACCTCTTCTAATTTTGACAGTTTAGAATTCCAACATTTTCCAGAAAAACTTTGGGCTCCTAGGATTGGGAAGAAAAAGTTTTGAAACCAAAACAATTTTGTCTAGTCAAATCCCTATTGCTTACCCCATCCCTTCGGGGAGATGCCAAGGCTAGAAACAGGTATCTACAGGACAACCCAGGTAAAGAGCTGCTCTTGGATTTTTAGATGAAAGAAATTTTTAAAAACTCATTAAATTATCATAATTTTCCCCATTTTGTTCAGCAGCCACCTTAGCATATACATTCTTTAGAAATCTTCCTTTGAACAAAAGATGAATCATACAATAGTTTTGTATGCCTCTCTTACCCAGCACTCAGTCAGGACTGCCTGACTGCGACACAGGAAGGACATTTCAACTAGCACTCGTAGTCTTTTTTACAAGAAAAGAGTGTCTCTTTGTATTTACCCAAGCTATCACTTACTTTCTGTATTTTTGTTTGTGAAATTCTTCTGTTTTCCCTCTGCCTTTACTCAAGCATAGTTTGAATTCCTGAACTACTTTGACTATGAGTGTACTGGGCAATGGTATTTCCTTCATTTGTTTTGTAGACTGTCCTTATTTCAGAATGGATTACTTTTTTTTTTTCCCCTTTTTTTTTCTATTAAAATTAAGGCAAAACATCCAACTGATTCAATTACCTTTTTACCCCACTACCCCTTCTTTAAATACTTTAGCTTCATCTGCTTTCTTCAGAAGATTTTAAGTCATGGATCTCTAAAGAAGGTATTTGAAATAGAGAGTTTCATGCCATTTTGTGAAATAGCTCATAGCTACCAGCATATGCTAAATGTCAGCCACTATTGCAAGGAAAGTCTCTACAGGAAAATGGCAATAGCTTCCAGTGGTTATTCCAAGATTTACTGACATTTAAAGATTTTCTAACTTTTCTAGAAAGTAAATATTACTATTCCTGCACAAATTTTATTCATTATTGTTGATGCCTTACACAAGAAAAATTTTACGTGGTTTAGTTAGGGTTTTCAAATCCCCAAGTGCCTACCAGTTTTAAAATAATGATGATGAAAGAGATATAATGACTGAAAGATGAAGTTCTTAAGCTTTTAATACAAATGATAGTTAATTCCCCCATTTGTGATAGTTTCTCTCTTCATAATTTTTCATTTTTAATTTCAAAGCTCTCCCAGCTGTGACTAGAAAGCTTTAAGATAAAAGCTGAAAGGAGATACTACATTACAATTTGGCTCCATTTACAAACTCTGTTTTTTTAATTACTTGCTATCTTGATAACTGGGTCTTCCCTTTTGAAAATGCTTACTTGTTCAGAACTCTTTCCTGCTAAGCACACCTCTACTGTTCCAGAGGATGACCAGGGATGCTTGTGCCTCTGCAAACTATTGGAAGCATAAAAGCAGCCATCTGTTCCTTAGCATGTTCTTTCCCTTAAGCAACGAATTCCTTGTTCTTATGCGCAGAGAAGAATTTGCAATTAGCCCCCAACAAGGCCATCTGGGTAAGGCATTGGCATTATCTTGCTTATACTCCCAACTTATACTTATGAAATTACAGCAGCACATTTTTTTCTGGCCACCTGGCTATGTACTCCCTTCAGGATTCCAGAACTGGAAAAAACACTGCAGAGAAGAATGCCTATCATTATTTTACTATGTTTTATTACACCTTTGGGAGTCATACAACAATTTATTCTATTTTTATTATAACAAGCCATAACCCTCTCAAGTTCACTTTCCCGATGATATGTAAAGTAGTTTTATAATATTGTCAAAAGCAGAAATGAGCCTGTTATGCTGGGAGTATATGAGTGGCTATACCATGTATGTTTAGTGTCAGCCTCGACCTTAGAACTGTGGATATATCACTTAAGGTATGGCAAGAAATCATGTGGGATGAGGAGATGGAACAGTGCTGGGGAGAAGGACTTAGGGGTGCTGGTGGGTGAGGGCTGGCGCTGCCCTGTCCGTGTGTGCTGGGACACAGAAACCTCCCTGTGCTGGGCTGAGCCCCCAGCGTGGGCAGCAGGGGAGGGGGGATTCTGCCCCTCTGCCCCACTGAGGTGAGAACCCACCTGCAGAGCTGCATGCAGCCCTGGGGTCCCAGCACAGGAAGAACATAGTGAGTCCAGAGTTGGAGTGAGTCCAGAGGAGGGCCACCAAGTTGAATAGTGGGATGGAGCACCTCTCCTATAAGGAAAGGCTGAGAAAAATTGGATTGTTCAGCCTGGAGAAGACAAGGGTTAGGAGTGACCTCACTGGCCTTCCAGTACAGGAAAGGAACCTACAAGAAAGATGGAGAGAGACTAAATACAAGGGCCTGCAGTGATAGCACAAGGGGGAATGTCTTCAAACTGGATGACAGTAGATTCAGATTAGGTATTAATAAGTAACTCTTCCCTGTGAGAGTGGGGAGACACTGGTACAGGTTACCCAGAGAATCTTTGGATGCCCCATCCCTGGAAGCATTCAAGGTCAGGTGTCCATGGCCATGGCAGGAGATTTGGAGCTAGATGATATTTAAGGTCCCTTCCAGCCTGAACCACTGTATGACTGTAAGATTTCAAGACTTGGGTCTTCCTTTCTGATATATTTTCTCATTGTTCATTGATACATTTTCCTTCTTTGTCTATTAAAATCATGACCTGGATTTGGGGGGTTCATTTCCCAAGGTATATCACACATTTATACCATGCAACCACAGCCTAGCACTGGCAAAATATCATCTGCATCTTTGTTGCAAATTATTCTTGATTGGCTTACTTGCTTTTTAACTAAAAAAAATGGTATTCAGTTTAGTTAAGGATATTATGACTTTCAGATATTGAGCCAATACTAAAATATTACATTAAAGAAGAAATTTCTTAGGTGTCAAGATCAACAATTTACTAAAATTTTCTTTACATCATACAAGAGATCACCAAGTTTACAATAACTTAAAACTGTCTGTCCTCCTGTACGTCTTCATAACATCTCCCAATTTATGGAAGAGTTTTAACTCTCTGCTTTTGTCCTTGGATTACAGATTCCAATGGAGGATTTGGTAGAGAGACAGTGTTATGATTCACTACAAAATACAGTAGTGAACCCAAACCTCTTAAAATGCAATATCCAGTTGATATGGTTGTTCTGAGAGTTGGCCAAAAACCTATATTAGCTCTAAAAGATTTTTTTAAGACTATTAGTAGCAAAAGCATTTTGACTGAGATACAAGTTTCTTGCTTGGTTATTTATCAGATACAAAATCAGGAAAGGAAATCTTGAGTATTTGAAAACAGATCTATGATGTTTCAGGGGATTATCTGTTGTGTCAGTATTTACACTGTGAAAAGAAATGCAGAAACATATTTTTAAAGCTATGTTTTTACACCTATAAATCTGTCTATATATAAACCAGGCTGGAGTGTCAAATGACCCCATGTTACAAAGGAAGAAGTAAACAAACAGCCCCCAAATCAGAACTGTCTGACTGAGCTTGTGTTTCAGTGTGCCTCAAGAGGCTGGTGAGTCAGCTTTGCCCCTGGCTGCTGAGGCAGTGCCAGCCTTGCCGGCACTCCTGGGGCTTTGGGAATGACCAGCAACTGCCACCAGCCCTGGGTTTCACTGTAAACACAGAGCTACATCAGAGCCTTCATGGAATTCAGAGAACATAGGATGCAATTCTGAGCAAGCAACCCTTAGCAAATGAAAAGGAGTAATAACACAAAGTGAGGAAAGTCTAAGAGGTAATTTGAAAAACTTATGTAAACCAGTCTGCTCCTATTTCAGCAACTATGCATTTTTAAGAGGCATCTTTTCATTATATAGCTTTGGTGTAACAATAATGACCAAAACTGTTGCAGATTTCCTTTGAAATAATAACAATATATTTCATTTTCAAATAAAACAACATGAAAAAGTAAACTTTAAATAAATTATATTTTCATAATAATTTTTGTGCAATAAACAGTGCACAATTATTCTCTCTTCCTCTCACCAGGTGACTCTACTGAAGTCAAGGGAGATGCACTAGACACAACTGATACAAACTTCAGGAGAATTTACAATTTATATTAGAAATACTTTATTTCTATTAAAAGCCAAAGTCATCCTCTTTCCTCCACTGTTTGTTCCTTCCAAACTGGAGAACTGGCCTGAATACTTCACAGTTGAACAACAAGAAAAATGCCCAGACTCTGATTATTTTCATCCCCTCTGAACACAAGCCAGACAAATGGAACACATACATATTTACAAATAGTCTTGTAAACCAAATATACCCTTGGTTTTTGATATCCCAAATCCCTGCTGTTCATTACCCTGGATCACTCCCATGACTCATGATGTATGCATAACATTTTCTGAAACCTAAACAGGCTGGAAACATATTGACCTTGCCAAAAAAGCCTGATTAAGACATTTTCTGTATCTACTTTGGACAATACTTGAGTGATATTTCTTTTAATAATCTATAATATTTTATATTCAAAACATTACATTTATTTACACCTACTTACAGGTGTAAACCAAGCAATAAACACAGGCTCCCAAGCGCCGGTACCATGGACAGCTCCAGCTGCATCAGTGTCAGTGTCACCGTGGCAGCAATACCCCAGGAACATTTATGACAGCTGCTGATTTTTAACAGACCTCTCTCCTTTCAGTCTATAGCAGCATTGGATTTTAATTTCCAAACATAACTGTGGTGGAGATGCTCAATTGTTCTTAAATGAAGTTCACCTGCTCAGGGCAGCAGACAGAGCTGTGAGCTTCTCACAGTTCTGCTGAAGTACTATTGCTGACACTGTTGTTTCCTCTCCTACAGAGTCGAATGGCAGAAAGTTTGCGTCTGTTTGATTCCATCTGCAACAACAACTGGTTTATCAACACTTCCCTCATCCTTTTTTTGAATAAGAAAGATCTGCTGGCAGAAAAAATCCGACGCATCCCCTTAACAGTCTGCTTTCCTGAATACAAAGGCCAAAACACTTACGAGGAGGCAGCAGTCTACATCCAACGCCAGTTTGAGGACTTGAATCGCAACAAGGAGACCAAGGAGATCTACTCACACTTCACCTGTGCCACTGATACCAGTAACATACAATTTGTGTTTGATGCAGTGACAGATGTCATCATTCAGAACAATCTCAAATACATTGGCCTCTGCTAAGAATCCTTGGGTTTAATCTCTTTTCCTGAAGTGATAAAAAGGGGGCTAACTTCTTCCACTTCTAGTGGAAAAAAATTGGGCAATGCTTAATAGCCGAAGGAGAGAAACGGGGGAAATCTGATATATGAACACAGTTCCTCTTATGCCCCCTTAACCTGCTACATAAAGCTCCCCAAATATATGTTCTGGAGAGTGAGAGCCTCCTCTCCAAGAAAATCAAACACCCCCAGTGAAAAAAGAAAAAACCCAACCAAAAACTCAAAACCCCAAAAAAAAGAAAAAAAAGAGATTGAGGCCAAACTCTGTGGAGATGTTTCACCACAGTCACTGCACTTTTATTCCATTTGTTTCATTCCATTTCCTACAGTGGGAGTGTTATCATGTTCTGTGTAAGAAATGACTCTTCATCCAGTTGTCCTAAAATTTTATTGACATAAAAATATAAATCTGGTGAGTGACAGATGAACTTGTTTGCAGGGTGGGGAGCGGAATGCTTGTGTTGGGGAGAAAAGCTAGTTCAAACCAGAAGCTACTGAGTGAGAGAGTTAAAGCAAAATACTACTTAAATCTGTAGAGAGTGGGCATGCACCCACAACATTGGTATCCACAGTCAAGAGTATGTACACATCCATCATGTATGCACATGCACATGACTCTCAGCATATACTATGTACACACCTCTGCTTTACTTTACTGTTTCTCATGGACACCTTGCCTATTAAAGGAATTGTTGGTGCGCAACTGTTTTGTGAGTTCCTAAGACTAGCAGCTCTTTCTGCTCTTTCTGGCTTCAAATATGCAGCAAAACTACATGAAATGAATCTTTGAATAGGCCAAATTTAGGTCGGTGTTTCTTCTACTGTTAAGGAGTTTTATACATCAAAACAGTCTTCTTTTACATCTTTTTTTGCCAAATCTTGTGGTGTTTCATGAAAAACCAAATTATATTTAAGAAGTAGGTTAGTGTTCCTTTTTTAATACAGATTAAAAAAAATAAATCACAAAGCAATTTTTAAAATTATTGTTGTAGTGTCTGGATTGCTGAATGTGAAAGTTGCCAACGGACAATTATGTTCCACTGCTCCAAATACCTTCTGGGTATTGTAATATTATAACAGATTTCCCAAGAAGCAGGAGCCCTGGAGATTGTGTAGTGTATAACCTCAAAAGTCTTTTTTTGTTGGTTTTTAAAATTATTTTTAAAATGTGATGTGTTATTAGAAGGTTAAAGATGAGCGATATGAACAATAACTAAATGTCTTGTTATTTCAATTTAATAATTTAAATTATTTACAGTTTAGTGAAGTTAATGAAACTGAAGAGATGCAATCCTCAGCTCCAGGTTTCATCTCATAAAGAAACACTACTGGATGGAGTAACATTCCTGCAAAAGTTTGAATGCATAAGAAGCTCTGTGGGACTACACTGGAAAATCTCATATGGATTATATAGACCTAAGTCTTTGGTCAGTTGGTTCTTTCCCCTGCCATAGAAAAGACTTCTTAAAGACATCAGTGTAAAGTTGGTGTGTAAATAAATGTTTGATAACTGTAAAGCACATACGTACACAGAGACACAGACACACATGCACACTGGAAAATCACCTTCTACTACTTTTGTTCCCCTTATGTACTATGATTAGTGCAAGAAATCTCAGCCAAGGGCTCTAAGAAAATTAAAACAAAATGGTTAATAACATCAACATTTAAATTGTCCACTTCAAAAATAAATAATTCAAATGATACTGAATGTGTCTCTAGTGTGTTCATTAAGTAGTGTTATGACAATTACTTGATTGTGAAGTTTTCTTCTAATCTGTCTAATTTTGAACAAGATATTTTATCCCTGTACTGAAGACATGGGGTCCCTTTAACATTCTCTACCAACATTTACACCTGAAGAGTAGAGTCAAAAGAGCAAATGAGGCTGTGCCTTCAAGGTATAAAGGCACACAGAGATCTGTCTGTCATGACACACAGAGAGTTTTTAGATCTCATTTGTAATGAGGAGCTGCTGCCTGCTTGGGATATTTGCACTCAGGCTGCTTGGCTTGGCAAGTTTACTAAAATCTGTATACAGTAATTGCCAGTACAAGTTCCCCTAAGCTTTGTTTACTATTAAATTGCTATCATTTACCTGGAAAATTGTGTAATATTTCTAGTTTAATTTGCTTTTTTACATGTAGTATCCAATTATTAGCCAGCTGAATTGTGGAAAAGGTGGGAAGTGAGTCAGGGCTCCCTTTCCCAATGAATGGTCTATTAGATGTTGTGTCTCCTCCAGCTCTTTCTTTCATCAGACTGTGGCCTATTCATACTGGTGAAAGAAGACACAAGAAAACGCCAGCTTTCATTACAGCAAAGTTTCGAGGTAAGAAAGCTGGATGAAACCAAAAGTGTAGTCAGTTATCAGGAGGGTAGCAGACACTTTATGTTAAAAAATAGATATTTATTCAACTAAGAAGGTCTTTCTACCATAAGTATTAGAGATTATGAAGTGGAGAACATTTTAACAAAGACCCAAGGGGATTTCTAAAGCAAAGCAGCTAGTTCTGGTTCTCATTGACTGAAAGCTATTTGGAAAGGAGAAATGAAAGTGAAGCACCACCTGTGCTCCTACTTGACTTAAAATCAGAGGCATGGGGAGGAACAAAGAAGTAAATAATTATGTTTAAATAATCAAGTCACATAATCATGTTTTCTGAATAGCAATTTCTTGCTATTAACTCTCGAATAATTTAATTCCTATGATGTTTTTGATTTTAGTATTCTGTGTAATTAATGGTTACTCTGTTTTCTCTCTGAAGAATTCAAGACGTTAAAATAAATTATGTTTTATACAGAGTTTTCTGTAAAAAAATTCTGATTGTATAAGAAAACTGAGGCATAGGAAAGTTAGAACTAAAAAGTCTGTTGGCTGAAGACAGGTGCTGAAATTAAACCCCTTGACTCTTAGTCATCCACCTGGATAAATCATGCAATAAATTTGCATCTATTTTCTCAGTTCTCAGGTTTATCAGTGATGCAGTACACTGCCACCTGAAAGAGCTGCATTAATACAGCTGGGATTTCACTTCACCTGGGCAACAATGACATTCACAGAAGAGATGTCCCATCTGCTGCAGTAAGAATGCCATCTGTCCTTTCAGCATTTGCACTCCATACAGCAAAACAAGTTTTGAAGGGAAAAAGGTATCCTTAAAGAGTCCTTATCCACACATTCAATTAGTTATGATTTCTCAAGGGTGAAAGAGTGGAGACACTAAGACTCAGCAGTGTAGGAGGAATATTATCTCTTGGGCTCCTCCCAAACAGAGGTTCTGGCAAGCTTAAAAATCCATTGCCCCATCCATTCCACCTCAATCTTCACCTAAAAGGATTAAGTACCCATCAATGACAGGATAGGTAACGGGTAAGAATTATTAAACCTTTCCAGTGTTAACCACACAATAATGAAAGACATTTTTTCCTAGAACTATTTTTGCAGTTGCTATTTCTGAGGTCATTTATCATTGCACAACACCCCTTCACTAACATTATCAAGTATTATATATGTCAAATAATTGTTTTTATAAAGAGAGGAAGTTTTGCTATTAATTTCTTTAATGTTCCTAATTTTCTCCTCCTGCTGGCCCTTCTCCCTCTTCTGTCCTTTACTGAACATATATATCTATCTATTTTTGTCTTTTCTGCCCATTATTTTTTTCCACTAAGTTGTTGTTCCTTCTGGAAATGTTACTCCTCAGTGTTCTCCCAGTCTTTGTGCATTCTCCCACCTTTTGGTTTTTTAACTGTCCCACAGTTCCTGGAAGATACTGGTACACATCCTTAAATTTAGGAACCAAAAATACTCTGTAAGTGGATTTGCTCAAAATAACCGTATTTTCCTAAATTACTCCTTTTTGGAGTAAGACCAGGTGGCCTGGCATAGAGCTAGCTGGAGTCACTGACCACTTCCCAGTTAAAACAGCTACACTTCATGCCAAGGGCATGTACAGCCTCTGCTCCTTTTTGTCTAGCACAGAGCATGTTGCTTTATTGGCCCTGCAAATTACCTCAGCTCTGGAGAAAGCACAAATGGAGCTGTGGAGTGCTGCAGTAGCTGCTGACCTCCTCCAGCTGATCCAAGGTACACCTGTTACCCTAGGACAACATCCTATCTCACTTTCTGGATGTGAGGTGTGGAAGTGAATGCAAGGAGAAAAACAGTTTCTTGGCTAGCTGAAAGGGGCTGCATTACCAAGCAGAGACTATTTCTGTATCTGTAATATGTCAAATGAATTACATCAGGCCTTTTGACTCTTACTACTTATTGGAAAATATTTGTGGTTATCCTTGACAAACTGTCTCATAGCAAAAAGTTTTGCATCTTTTTGTTTTCCTTTCAAGTTGCCCTCTGTATGTGAGTCCATTCTACACTGACACAATTCTGCTCCAGAATTTATCTTCCAGCCCTTAAATACAGGCATGTATATTTTTATAGACACATTATGTTTTTATTTAAATAAACAGAATACATGACTCAAAAACCACATACTCCAAGAGTAATTACTCAGAGCTGCTTTTACAGACTTTTCCATACTGATGTTCACCAAGTTGTTTGGCCAACATACTAATATCCTTCAAATGAATGGAATTATTGAAGACTTTAAAAAGGATTGCTTGCATGTAAAAATACATATTTAGATTTTTTAGAATTCATGTACAGTTAGCAAGGCTCTAAACATTCATTTAATTCTTTTAAAGCATCAGTAATGAAACTGAATTTCTCAGACAATATACTTTGCTATGAATTTAAGCAGCATGGCTTTTTAACTGATAATTTCTACTGAAATTTTATTTTTAAAATTGTAATTTTTATCAACTGGAAGAGAAGTTTAAGACTAACGCTCAGATTAAAACACTGATGAAACTAATGCACTGTGATGAACAGCTGCTCCACACCTTGAACAAAAGGGAAAAAGTGAAATTTTGATGCAAGATTCTGAAATACCAATTCAAGCATGCAGTGCACTGCATCTTGAGCAGGTAGCTTAAACTTGCATAAAACCTAAGAAAGTTAACTAAGAAAAATTAAGATAAGCAAAAATAGACAAGATACTGTTTTTAAATATGAGTTTCAAGGGAAATGGAAAAAATTAAATCTGGAGCATAGGTGAATTTACCTGATTTCCTCTCTGTGTTGTCTATTTGAATACTTAACTGCTTAAAGCCTCCTACCTTCAGGTAATTTTGCCAGCATGTCAAAAATCTGATGGGTGTTCTTCCGACAGATATCTACTGGATCATCCAGGAGCCCAGTGAGGGCAGAAATGACTCCACTTCGTATTAGCCCTTCCCTAAAAACAACAATGGAGGACAGATTTAACACAACGTAATAAAACTTGTATATATTTGAGATATTTAATCTTAACTGCTCTTCTTTACGCTGCATCTGTCTCACAAAACTTAGGAGCTGCTCTTATTTCTCACTGAAACATCACTTCCCACAGGGTTCAGTAAGCCTTGCAATTGCACCTACCTGCCAATACTATGCAAAGCCATTATAGAGAGAACTTCTGTTGTTTTCTGCCGGACAGTTTGGTCTTGATGCACCAGCAAAGTCTTCAGGCTATCCAAAAATCCTATGAGACATCAGAGCACATTTTAACATTTCTTACTTCCAGCATGAATTTGAAATAGCAATATTCATCATTTATCTCACAATTTGAAGTGCCTCAGAATTTTCAGCTTGTCCTGACAGTGAAATTCTCATTGTCATATCTTAAGTAAGGAAGAAACTTTCAAATTTCAAGGCCTACTGCCAAAAATGTCACGCTACAAACAAGCTCCTGACTCCTTATCAAGTTAAATCCTAATCCTGCAAATATGAAGTGACATAACTCTAAAAATAAGACAGTGGAGCTATTGATGTCTTTAGAAAAGCATGTTTTTGCAGGATTGACACTCGTCTTTTTTGAACAGAAATAAATGTGGTGAACCATTAATGATTGTGTATGCACATATGGCACTCAACCACAGCCAAAAAACCTTACAACCCCAAACTAACAACAATCTCACATCGCTTTGGCAATCAACTGTTCATCAAACACTAACTTAATAAATTTTGAACATGACTAGTCTCTTTTATGAGAGGAAAAAAATGTAAAGGAAGTAAATGGAGAAAAAAGCAGTAGCAAACAAGGATTTTTTTCTGTGTTACATAATGAGCTGTGTAGATATACCACAGACTGCTAAAAATTGCAAAAATAAGCTTGTGGTTAGGGGTTTTTTCACTCCCAAAAATCAAAACTCAGGATTCTTCCAGGCTTTCAAAATAAGTGGTGGCCAGATGTCGTCCTGAGAACTAAGTTACATTTGGTTATATTAATTTCTTTTCTAATTTCTCATTAGGTTCCAGGCGAGTGGGTGATGATGGTGAAGGGGTTCTAACTTGGAACTAATTAGGTGGAGGTTTTTTTATTAGCCTATGTTAGGAATTATCTAAAATCGGAATAAAGTCTGGGGACATGTTTTAGTGGTGATCGTGGCAGGGCAGAGTTAACAGCTGAACTGGATTATCTCAGAGATCTTTCCCAACCTTAACAAT